AATATAAGGTATTCTAAATATATTATGATTCCATTTCAATGTTTCCGATTGCATAGATAAATTGAATTTTCATAGATTTTGATATTTTTTTCATTTTGATTTCATTATTTTGTGTGACACTGTGTTGGAATTGAGCTGTGTTGTTTACCCATACTGTTCATTTTGTGAGTATATGTATTGATGCCACACCTGTGACAGGTAAAAGCATTCTTTTTTTAATAACAACGCCACCTGTTGCACGTAGGATCAACACACGCTATGCTATATATGTTACAATTTCATTTCAGTATTTCTGATTGCATTGACAAATTTAATTTTCATAGATTTTGAATTATTTTTATTTTTATTTAATTATTTAGTGTGATATTGCATTGGAATTGAGGTGTGTTGCTTACCATAGCATTCATTTTATGAGTATATGTATAAATACCACACCTATGACAAGTAAAAACATATTTTTTTTTAAACAGCATCATCTGTGGCACGTTGGAGCAACACATGATATTCTAGATATGTTTCGATCCCATTTCAATACATCTGATTTCATTGATAAATTAAATTTTCATAGATTTTGATTTAATTTCATTTTGATTTATTTATATTGTGTGACATTGCGTTGGAATTGAGTTGTGTTGTTCATCATACTGTTCATTTCGTGAGTATACTTTATTTTTCTATTTTTTTCATTTTTTCATTTCGTTTTTAAATTGTTTTCATATATTTCAGTGATGGGAACATCAGATCATTTGATGTTCCCAATTTTCCGATGAGAACATCAGATTATTTGGGAATGCAAAGAACGAGGGGGTGGAGATTGGTGGGGAGGACGAGGGGACGGGAGTGGGAGATGGTGGGGAGGACGAGGGGACAAGGGAGGGAGGGAGGTAATAGTGGGAAAGATGAAGAGAGAGGGAAGTTGGGGATGGTGGGGGCGAAGGGACAGGGGAATGGAGAATGGTATGGAGGACTAGGGAAAAGGAGAGTGGGGGAAGGTGGGAAGGACGAGGGGACGGGGAGGGGGGAATGGTATTTAGGAAGAGGGGACGGGGAAGGTAGAATGGTAAAGAGGTCGAGGGGATAGGAGAGTGGGAGGTGATTTGAAGGACAAGAGGTACAGAAGAGTGGGGAATGGTTAGGGAGGGACGAGGGGTACAGAAGAGTGGGGAATGGTTAAGGAGGGACGAGGGGTACAGAAGAGTGGGGAATGGTTAGGGGGACGAGGGAATGTTGAAGTGGGGGATAGTCATTAATCAAGAACGAAAGTTAGAGGTTCGAAGGCGATCAGATACCGCCCTAGTTCTAACCATAAACGATGCCATCTAGCGATCCGCCGGCGTTATTCCCATGACCCGGCGGGCAGCTTCCGGGAAACCAAAGTCTTTGGGTTCCGGGGGAAGTATGGTTGCAAAGCTGAAACTTAAAGGAATTGACGGAAGGGCACCACCAGGAGTGGAGCCTGCGGCTTAATTTGACTCAACTCGGGGAACCTCACCAGGCCCAGACACCGGAAGTAATGACAGATTGAGAGCTCTTTCTCAATTGCACAACAGGATGGGGGAGAGGGGAATGGTGGGGAGGACGAGGAGACGGCGGAGTGGAGAATGGTTGGGATGATGAAGGGATAAGGGAAGTGCGGAATGATTCGGAGTATGCGGGGACGGGGGAGGGGGGCTTGGCGAGGAGGACTGGGAGACAAGGGAAGGTTGCTGTGGGTAAACCTGAGCCACAGCAACGCGTGGCTGGGTACAGGTAGTATTTAAATATTTGCTGATATTTATCGACAATTATATTACCAGATACGTTGCCACTTTAATTTCATATGATTGGGCTTAGTTATTGTTAGCAGCAATGTTTTTTGTTATTTTAATCTGTTTTGGGATATACTTGTAGCAGTTAGAACAGATTAAATCTGGTTTGGGATATACACAGAGCAGTACGCGCTTGGTGCAGTTAGAGAACACGTATAGAAGGAAACGTTTTAAGAAAACATTTCAATAGAGTAATGAGAAAATCCACCAAGGCTGTGAGGCGACACAAACTTAAAACCCAATATTGCCAATCACGGACTCTACCACTGGACCATCGCTGACTTGCTCCTTTTGTGATATGACTTGTGAAAGGTATACAACCGGATTTCAACTGAATTCACAGGAAGTCTGGAGGCCCCTACTGAAGCCAGTCCAAGTTTAAAATTAATGTATGACTCACAAGCACTCGGATGGAAGGGCAAAGTTGTCCCACATCTTATGTCACATCTTCTGAAACACAGAACTCACATTCAATGTAATATAAACACACAGAAACCATCCCATTAATGTGATTTCAGCATGTTTCTGAATTTGGGGACCCTTTTTTTATGTTTTTTTTTTTTTATTAATTTTTTATGTGTTGGACCCTTCCACCTGAGTGCTTGTGGGTCACACATAAAAACTTGGACTGGCTTCACTTTAGTTCAAGTGAAAACTTAAATTGTAATAGCCCCCTTTCACCCGAGGCCTGCTTCCTTCATGACCCAGCAGAAGGAAGAGTAATAATAATTAATTAATTGTAATAATAATAATTAATTTTTATAATAATAATTATAATAATAATTGTTGTAATTAATGCAGGGTCTTGAAAAAGGCAGGCATCGGGTGAAAGGGACAATCTCTGTCTGGAATCCGTAGGTGCTGGACTCGGACGTCCACCTCCTAGGGCTTGTACGCCCAAGCTCTGCTTCATGAGGCATGGGTCGTTCTTGCCTTTGCTGGGGTGGTTCTTCTCCAGCCCCGACCACGGCAGTCCCCTTATTTGGAGCCCTTGAGCCTTCTTTTTTCCAACCTCGAGGTAAACTCTGGAGCTGGAGCCCCTCGGGCAGTTCGTTGTTACCTTCAACCTCGTTCTGATAGCTCCTGCGACGGCGCTGGAGTCAATCGTATTAGCGTTTGCCAAACCATTGAAGACTTTCGGTGCTGTGGTGAGGGGGGGGGGGACCTGTTGGCTGGGTGGGAGCTTCTCCCCCGTATCAACCTACTCTGGCTTTGCACCCTTGTGATGCCACTCCAGTCCGACAACCAGAGAGTAACTCCCTAGACTCCCGAGACTGATGGATGCTACCAAATACTACTATGTTAGGTTAGGGTTAACATAGGGTTTGGTTAGGTTTCTTTTTAATATGGTGTATGAACTCAAACATGAACCATGAAATAAGAAAACTATTTGCGAATCCCCTAGTATTAAATTTACAGAAAACCAAATTCTTCAGACTGTTACAGAGAAAACGAGTGAATAATAGACTTTTGTATTATAAACCAATGATGTAAAATACAATAAAGTTATAACTTGAGAATATTGTTTAGGACAAAAGGTCACATGCCATTTTACAAGTAGACTATTATTTGAAAAGTATTAGCTTTCAGACTATCACATATATCTAGATAACCATCCAGGTGATTAACCAGGGTAACTGGCTTCAGTGTAAATCAGAAAATAGCATACCCTGTTCGGCTGTGGGCATTGACCAAGGCCAAGTTTCTGGACCCAAGATGATACCCACTGCATAGGAAATAGCCGTCCAACCCTTTCACTCCCAGAACTTTGCTAGCAGCTTCGGACAAGGCCATGAGGTGTCTGATTCAAAGTGAGAAATCGTCGTGTGTTCATTAGAGCTACAGGTTGCAATCCTTTTACCACGGCGTGGTCTAGTTGTCTGAAGCGTGTGCATGGGAACACCAACAGCGTAGATTCGAACCCTCTTAACAGCCCCTATGGACTTTCTCACTGATGCAGTCAGGTTAGTGTGTTTACTTTCTGTATACTTAAGGTGAACATTAATGTCTCACCTTGAGACATTAACGCTCGATAGCACGATATCAAAGCACGATACACATGGCACCTGGAACAGCAAAGTCTTAATTTAAATTAAGTTAATTGGAAAGAGGTCAACTTTACAAAATGGTTGACCATTGAGTGGTATATATATACACTCAACGTGCGTTTCTGAAAACATATATATATAAAATATATATATATAAATATATATATATATATATATATATATTTAAATATATATATATATATATAATATATATATATATTATAGATATATATATAATATATATATATATATATATATATATTATATATATATAATATATATTAGTATATTTTTTGGAAGCAGTCTTTCCTGTAGACATATATTATTAAATATGACCGAAAAAGTAAGATTAATAATTCTAACACGAATTTTCTCAATCTTTCGTACATTTCTTTTCACTGTTGGAGGTAAATCAAAAATCAATTCTCCAAAATTCATTTTTATTTCTAGTCTGACGCGACACGAGCGCGTTTCGTAAAACTTATTACATTTTCAAAGACTTAGTTCACAAATAAACAACTGAATAGAACTTACGCATCTCCGATTATATATCTACCTTTGAGTGAGGTGGAAGGGGTGATGTGGCATTAACACAAGACAGAACAAGATGTGGCATTAATAGGGTATTAATTTCATCAACACAAGACAGAACAAGAGGTGGTATTAATAGGGTATTAATTTCATCAACACAAGACAGAACACGAAACAATGATATTGAATAGAAGTGTTTGTAGAAAGCCTATTGGTCCATATTTCTTGATGCTTCTATTTTAGAGCGGAGTCTTTAGGTGGGTAGAATATAGTTGTGCATTAAATCAATCAACAGCCAATTAATGCACAACTATATTCTACCCACCTCAAGACTCCGCTCCAATATAGAAGCATCAAGAAATATGGACCAATAGGCTTTCTACAAACACTTCTATTCAATACCCATTGTTTCGTGTTCTGTCTTGTGTTGATGAAATTAATACCCTATTAATGCCACCTCTTGTTCTGTCTTGTGTTGGTGAAATTAATACCCTATTAATGCCACCTCACCCCATCCACCTCACTCAAATGTAGATATAAACAAAAATCGGAGATGCGTAAGTTCTATTCAGTTGTGTATTTGTAAACTAAAGTCTTTGAAAATGTAATAAGTTTTACGAAACGCGCTCGTGTCGCGTCAGACTAGAAATAAAAATGAATTTTGGAGAATTGATTTTTGATTTACCTCCAACAGTGAAAAGAAATGTACGAAAGATTGAGAAAATTCGTGTTAGAATTATTAATCTTACTTTTTCGGTCATATTTAATAATATATATATATTATATATATATATATATATATATATATATATATATATATATATATATATATATATATATATATATATATATATATATATATATATATATATATATATTATTAAATATGACCGAAAAAGTAAGATAATAATTCTAACACGAATTTTCTCAATCTTTCGTACATTTCTTTTCACTGTTGGAGGTGATTCAAAAATCAATTCTCCAAAATTCATTTTTATTTCTAGTCTGACGCGACACTTGAGCGCGTTTCGTAAAACTTATTACATTTTCAAAGACTTTACACATACACAACTGAATAGAACTTACATATCTCCGATTTGTTTATATCTACATTTGAGTGAGGTGGATGGGGTGAGGTGGTATTTAATAGGGTATTAATTTCATCAACACAAGACAGAACACGAAACAATGGGTATTGAAATGGAAGTGATTGTAGAAAGCCTATTGGTCCATATTTCTTGATGCTTCTATATTGGAGCGGAGTCTTGAGGTGGGTAGAATATAGTTGTGCATTAATTGGCTGTTGATTGCTGGTGTTGACTTCTTAATGTGCAGTGCCTCGCAAACGTCAAGCCGTCTGCTATCGCTGTATCTATCGATGATTTCTGTGTTGTTTACTAGGATTTCTCTGGCGATGGTTTGGTTGTGGGAAGAGATTATATGTTCCTTAATGGAGCCCTGTTGCTTATGCATCGTTAAACGCCTAGAAAGAGATGTTGTTGTCTTGCCTATATACTGGGTTTTTTGGAGCTTACAGTCCCCAAGTGGGCATTTGAAGGCATAGACGACGTTGGTCTCTTTTTAAAGCGTTCTGCTTTGTGTCTGGAGAGTTTCTCATGAGTAGGCTGGCCGTTTTTCTGGTTTTATAGTAAATCGTCAGTTGTATCCTCTGATTTTGTCTGTAGGGATAACGTTTCTATTAACAATATCTTTCAGGACCCTTTCCTCCGTTTTATGAGCTGTGGAAAAGAAGTTCCTGTAAAATAGTCTAATAGGGGGTATAGGTGTTGTGTTAGTTGTCTCTTCAGAGGTTGCATGGCGTTTCACTTTCCTTCTTATGATGTCTTCGACGAAACCATTGGAGAAGCCGTTGTTGACTAGGACCTGCCTTACCCTACAGAGTTCTTCGTCGACTTGCTTCCATTCTGAGCTGTGGCTGAGAGCACGGTCGACATATGCGTTAACACACACTCCTCTTGTACCTGTCTGGGCAGTCGCTTTTGGCATTTAGGCACATTCCTATGTTCGTTTCCTTAGTGTAGACTGCAGTGTGGAAACCTCCGCTCTTTTCCATGACTGTTACATC